GAAAACGTCATGGCACCATGCAGGGCCGGCATAGCAGCGGCACATGCAAGTGGGCCGGGGGTGGGGGGGGGGTCGGGACAGGCCACGATACCAAACTGACAGAATTGATTCGCAACTGGCATCCCGCATTCCATGTTTCTTCATGACAACTTTGTCGTACGCTCTTATGGGACCACGCTGCAAGACATGGCTCTGGTGACACACATCTCGACGAAGCATCCGCATGCTGGGAACAAGGGACGGTTAAGGTGCAGTAATCCAAGGATTCCACAAAAGAGACTTGACCAACACAATAACATCCAAGCACGAATTGGACATGCAAGATCTCATATCACACAAAACCAAACCGTCAAGAGTCCCGGAGAGCGACGCGAGAATGTCATCAACTGCGAAGACATTCAACTGCACACTACTGGGAGTTGTGCCTTGATTATTGTAGCATGTCTGGATTGTTGCAGATGTGCCGAAAATCTGGGACACATACTGCCGCAACGTTGGTTTCACCATGCCTGGTTTAACTTATGCGATCAAAAGGTCATGAAGCTCAGCAACTCAACAACCTGCGACTAGTCCCAAACAAAATCAGGAAGCTCGTGACGGCTACGATGGCGTGACTGTCTTCCCGGGTGCAGAGTGAGAGACTTGGCACATGCAAGCATGGTTCGCGGTGGCAGCAGCAGACATATACTTCAAAAGGATCCTGCGCGTAATTCGTACACACAATCAGTAACGGGGCGACGGAGTGTGGCCAGTGCCGAGGGAGACAAGCCCCAAGCACAGGGGGGCGACCCTAAGGCGTGTGCCAGATGCAGAGGGAACAGTGTTCCAGCACCGAGCGCAAGCACGCCACCAAGCAGCTACAGTAAGTGATATGCCATATGCACGTATCGACCAAGCCGGCGCAACAGAAAACGGCCCATAGGCGCAAGCAGGGCAGAGAGCAGCAGGGTAGAGAGCCAGTAGCAAGGCATCAACAACAACCCAATGCCCATAATCTTGGACCGATGGCTCAGCAGGTCATGCAGGAGGATTGATAGTCGCATGAACCTTGCCCAGCCCAGAATAGTGTACTGTACCCCAATGTGCAGGTGTGCAGACAAGCATGGCCGCACTGTCCGCGAGTCCTAAGCTCAGTCAGTGCCACCGGGTGGGTGTTCCTCGAGTCACCCACGACTCTTAGTGCCGCCCCGGGGGTGCGCACCCTTTCCAGCACCAACCCACCCAGCAAGGACAAGCACTAGGCCCGGGGAACTGCTATTCGCTGCAGGTCTTCTGTTCACACTACCGGCTCTGCTAACCCTCTAGCCATGTTCTACAACGCGGTCCACTCAAGCCCGAACCAATAGTTGGTAGACTTCCTGCCAAGCTTGACAGTAGTTTGTCGCTCTGCCCACCTGCAGCCGATGCTGTCGTTCCGCCCCTGTCTTGGAGATAAAGAAGAAAACCAAAATCGGCATCAGCAAAGATGGCAGGACGCTCATAGCCACTGAGAGTGCAAAAGATGCCATGAAGCCGTTCCACAGCGTGGCCAATGCCGGGAAATGCTCTACCATGACTTTGAAGAAATGTATATGTTTCTCCAGCGTGTTCAGGTTGGCAACAGATTGGATCAATGCGACCAGCGGCATGAAGCCCCAGAAGATAAGGAAAATTATGAAATAACCAATGAGCTCCTTGACGGCCTGATGCCCTGGCTCAGTTGCTAAATCTCCCCACAAGACCTCACTGGGGTTTGGAGCCGTCTCTGCCCGGATGCCATCGTAGTCATCTTCAGCCAACAACTTCTGAGCAACCACAGCTTCACGCTGATGATTGAATGTAACGAAAGCATTGGAAGAGTTCTTGTCGTTCAAGCGCAAGAGTTGCTTCCTGTACCTGCTGACCATGCTGGCAGCTGCGGCTTGAAGCTCTTGGCCCTCAAGTACTCGGCCGGTACCAGTGCGCCAGGATCCCTGGCCCTGACCGTATGCTACTTCTTGCCAATGAAGAAGCTCCCTGGTGTCTTTTACGAACTCTATGCACTTCACAGCCTGGCAACCAAAAACACCATCGTCAAAGAACTTACGAAGCGCAGCTTCCGACATCAAACTCTCGGGAATACCTTGCACTAGGACTGTTGTTGCACTGGGAACTGGTGATTTGTGCAACCATCTCATGCGCAACGGCGTGAAGTTTCGCTGTGCCAAGTGCACTTGTGCATGGGTAACCACGACCACATACCACACAAAGATGGCATGCAGCCAGCACAGCCACGAACCATGTTGCACATTGGCCATGCCCACTTCGCTCAATCGGTCATGACCGGCAGCATCTCCACCGACACTGGCGTGAAGAGGACATAGAATCAGAATGCAGGGTACACCAATGCTCAAGCATAAACGCATTCCAAGAGCCAAGAACTCGCAATGCATTGCCGCGTCCAGCCCAGCAACACTTGCCACTTCCTCCGGCGATGCGCTGAAGCTTTTGAGAAGCCATGCGAAGCAGCCTGGCCGCCCAGGCAACTCCCTGGGCTTCAACTTCGCGGCCGCTGCATGCAAGTTCTGCAACTCGGGGTCGCGCTGGTATACTGCAGGCAGGAGGCATCGCAAGAGACTTAAACCAAGAATGGCCATGATCACGATTCCACAGTTCGTCGCCAAAGCAACCAGAAACGTGTCCAAGTCTCCTACTTGGTTCGCGTGCACAGCTGCCACGGCTGCAGCACTTTGATCAGCACTCGCAGTCGTCGTAGTCGTCGTAGTTGCGTTCTGAACGGTCTGGGCCAGCAGGGCTTGGGCCCAGTGCTGGCTGGTCTGACTGCTTCGGCCGAAGGGCGACGGGATGAGTCTCTGCAGCAGTGCGCCAGGGCTCGTGGCTGCGTTGGGGGTGAACTGGCACTCTTCGCCGTGCGCTGTGTCCATTTGGTGAGAATATGCCCTGTCCCGCAGCTTGGCTGCAGGTTGGACGACTGTGCCTGGTTGTCCTTCCAACAAATTAATGTACTGTTGCTGATCCCGATAAAGGACCCCCAAGCTGTATCCTGGAGTAAGGTGTGGTCTAAATGCTATGACCTAGCCTGCGAGACCAACATCCGCAGAAGCAAAACTGACATGTTGGCGAAACCCGCTTTCCAACAAGCCTGCAAACGAGAGTGTCAGCGAGTCACAGAACACCTCACCGACAGCTGATTAAAGCCCAAGCTGCCAGTTGATAAATGTAAACGCATCGAAATGCCACCTCACAACAACTCAGCGGCATCGTAAACGGTGAAAGGCTAGGTTGCTACCAAGTCGCACATATTTCATTCGAGGAATGTCTGTCATTCGCTCACACATAGCCACTGCGTGGACAAAGTTTACACCTTCGAAGGACAAGGTGGCCATGACAACGCTACCTTAGTCGACACAGTTGCGTATTTGCTTTGCCGGCTTCTGCCGGTTCCACATGTGGCAAAATGGAGCCAACAGGCCGGCCAAAGGAGCCTTAGGACGGCACGCCAGGAACAGCCAGAAACGCGCAACTCATCGCACAAGTCGGGGATGCCATCACTTCTTCAAGCCAACCGGCACAGGACCCCCACCGTAGAAATGGGACAGAAACATCGGCATGCAATGCCAGATGCATGGAGAGAACGATGAGGGCACACAGCCTTTAGCGGCTTTCAGATCTTTCAGCAGATCGTGTGAATTGGTCTGAGGCTCTCAGGCCAGGCGGCAGAACCAGAAGCCAAAGGAGGCCGAAGCTCCAGACCATACTGTACTGTTTCCACTTGCCTGCATGACGGGCAGCTATTTCGCAGAGACGGAAGTTTGGCAAAATGAACTCAGGGCCTGATACGATAGCTCTGATAGGGATCTTCGAAAATATGGCCATGTGGTCCCAGTTGTTCCACACCTGCGTGGAGAGAATGCTCATCACCTTCAGGTTAAGGACACCGGGCAGGTGCAAGACGTTCACCTGCAAGGGCAGCAAGGACTTGAACCGATTTGGCGCGGGGGTGGGGGGGGGGGCCGTTGACATCTGCATCTTGAGGTGTTCTGAGTAAGAAGCCCCTAGGCTACATGAGCAACGGCGAGTCTGCTTGAAGGCAATCAGCTTCTTCTCCCGCCTTGACTTCATAGACATCTGTGTGGAAGCGCGGGTCATCATTTTCTGGCTCCCGCATGGCAGTGTCAGGGTCATCATTCGGCAAATCTAGGATGAACTCCTTGTGCCACGGCATACCTTTTCCCCGGCCCTTTTCCCAGATCGGCTCGTCCGTTGAGCCGCCTTCGACAGGCTGGTAGGTGCAAATCCTTAGGCATGCGATGTGCATCGTGCCATGGCCCTCCCATGGCCCCGAGCTGCAATCCAAAGCACATCTCCCTGTTCGGCAGGGAAGTGAAAAGCGGGAGACCATACCTGACGACAAGGCATCCATCCTAATCCTCAAGTACTACAGACCTGCATTCGCGCAATTGATCAGCATTTCTTTGTGGCAGTACCTTAACACGATCCAATCGGCGCCGGCAATGAAGCGGCAAATTGTACGCTACCGACTCTTCCCAGGAGCCTCATGATTATCAGGAATCAACACTGGCCTCTCTTCCAGCTTTTTCGTTCGGGCACCGGTGCACACAGCGTTTCTGAGGCTGGCTGAAATTTGACATAAGTCAGAGCAGGTAAGTAGGCACGATGCAGCGGCTCATGCGGAGCATTCGTCGTCCCCAGGGTGAGCTCCGATGAAGTGAACGAGGGTGAGAATGGCGATGACATGGAGCAGTCTGATGCAGTGCAGCTATGTGGCACTGCAGTGCACGGAGCTTGTATGCCTTTTGCTTTCTGCTGTTTTGCTCGCTGAGGTGAGTGGTTCATGGCGCGTGCTCTCGGGCCCCCGTTGTTCCACCTGCGAGGATCTTCGACTCTTGGTTCGCCCATCAGCAGCTCCAGCAGCTTGGCACCAGCAATAGGTGATCTCCTGGTAAGCACAAACATGCATGGGAACCTGATGCTGACATCGTTGCTGTCCAAGCCACTTGAGTGTTTCAATAAATATTTCCAAATGCCCTGCCAAGTACACTTGGGCGAAACAAGAGTGAAAGCCCGAAAGCTTGCTCGTGTCACGGAAATAGAATCGCATCGTGCCTCAAGCAGTTTCACAAACGGAATTGCCTACGTGCTGGTCTTCAGCAAGGTGCACCCGACGAACAAGCCGCAAAATGATGCAACAGATGTCCAGAAGCTTGTGCTGGCGGTGCTGCATGTTGTGCTAGTCGCGTGCTGGTCGCGGTGCGGGTCGCGGCACTGGCCGCAGTGCTGGTTGCGCTGTATCTACAGGTACGTCGTACGTGGCAGGACAAACATACACACGTGTACCGTACGCCTCTGCACAGGAAGAAACTTGCTCAGGGTTGATATCCTTCAACTCAGCCAAAGAACAAAAGATAGCAAAAGTTTGGACGATGCTGACGGAAAGGCCAGCAGCTCAACCTGCAGACAGAACACTTTCCTGACATGATTTCGGCCGAAGGTACCGAGAGTAGATGAAATGAGCAAGTCCAAAACAACAACTTCGCGAACACAATCACAACAATGGGCTGGAGGAGCCTTTGATCTGGCTTCCCTGCCCGCTTCTGTCATCTTAAGAGATCATTTTGAAGGCGCACAGCCCAAGCTCTTGATATAAGGCTAGAGACGGCCACAGAGGTGGAGAAATAAGTCTGTAAGCGACATCTCTCGCAAGCTCCGAAAAAACTAGCTTCGTGAAAATCCGGCAAGTGTGCCAAAAGAAAACCGCTGTGTTCCGGCATTTCGAAACTTGTCTCGTAACGTCCTCTCCTAGTTTCAAAACCATTCGAGTGGTGGTCTTGTCGAGCGACAAACTTTGCCCTGTCTCTGACAACGTGTGGTGCGGTCGTCCGGAGAATTTGCTCGCTGGGGATGTAGCTTCCACATCCTCATCACCAGTATCCAGAGGTACCTGAAGGTGGTCGTCGGTGATATCTTGGGTTAACTTTTCGGCTGCGCCCATCATCGCAAGTGTAGGCTGCATGTAAGCACAAGTAAGCCTCAAAAATCCATGACCGTTCTTCCCAGTCGGCCGGCTGTCCGGAGAATATGCCCTCTGCTGAGGAAGACGAAGCTTCCTGTAGAGCTATCGTCTCCAGTGGCCATGTACATTGCGCTTGATATTTCAGAGTGTGCAAAAAACCACTTCTCGACACAATAGCCCCGATAACACCTGCGACTTTTGAGCACGCAGTGCACGAATGCAATGCATGCGAGGCAGGCGCAGACGATTGCAGATAGGCGTTTGGCGGGCAAAGCTTGCAAAGCGGGCCAGGCCGGCGGCTGGATTCCGGCGAGTCCCGGACATAAGTGAGGACTTCTTCGCGGAGGTTCTTTTCGAGCTGTCCCGGGGCGCGCTTCTTGATCCGGCCTGAGCACATCCATGCGCATCTCCATGGACAATTGTGGCACTGTAGTCAGAAATGGCGCCTACGAGCTGAACAGCGGCAGCTGGATTTGCCTGGACAAGTATCTTGCACTACGTGGTCTCCAGCCTGTGTCTTTCTGTACAAGCACCAGAATGGCAAGTCTTACCGTTTTGCCGGTGCCTTGGCAATCAGGTTGACTTCAATAAACAATCTGCTCCGCTTGGGGTAGTGGTACGATTGCCTCAGAAGTTGCGGCGGTAACGGTCTTGAGCCCGGCATGCGTCAGATTCGTCTAGTGGAGGCACGTCAGCAAGTGCAGCATTTGTTTTGGAAACCTGGGCAAAGCAAAAATGCCACAGTGACGAAAGGTCAGAGCTAGTCGGCGAGTCAAGACTGGGCCCACGAGGCTAAACCGCTTGGGCACAGTTCAAGCTCAGCAGCGAGGCCCGCTTCTGGACTGCAATTTCCAAGGCAGTCTTGTTTCGGAGCAGCTCTGCTTCTTCATCCTGCCCCCAGGACATGTCGACATTTCAACAGGAATGCCAACCTCTTTTCATCTCCATCGCCCTTCCTGGCTTCTTTGAGACAAACCCAGCACACGTGATTGACAGGCCACTTTATGCATCCTGCAATGTATGGTTTTCTTCCTCACGTGGCTTGAGTTGGCCCAATCCGTTTTTTGCCTGGCGTAAACTCCAAGCCCACAAACTGCAAGCTACGCTGCTATGTGGCTTTAAGACACGTGCAATCTACTTCAAAACGAGCGGCAAACCGCACCGATCAGTAAAGTTAACACCATTATAAGACCGGTAGTGCGCATCGGTTACAACCCAGCAAAAACACTCCTTTGTGCCGCTTACCAAATGTTGAGAAATTCACCGAGGGGCATGAAGAAATATAGAATTATGCCAAACAGTCAACTCAAAACCTAATCCCCGGTCCCTCAACCTAGACCCCGATCACTGGACCTCACCAGTACAACTGCACTGCAATCCTCAATGTCCGTATGTTCGAGGGATCAGTGCAAAGATATGTTGCGATTCGTGTATACAGATTATTGCACGGATCTGACTTCCGAAAAATCCTCGCAAATGCATGGTTTGCACTCTATCACTCGATCCGAATGGATCCTGTTTACCACAGAGTCGGTGTGTTGGTCTGTCGGCGTAAACCGATAGGCCTGGACGTCGCTGTATCAGTACAGCATACGTGTAAGATAAATAGACAGAATATTGACAACGAGTTCTGACTAAAGATGATGTCAATGAGTTGCTGCTGCTATGCATTCTCGGAATTCTTGCAATCGGACCATGCGGATGTCGTCGACTACAGCCACTACGTAGATTCACCAGATACCTGATCCTGATTCCGGCTTCTGTCATTATAGAGGGTTCGGCTTGGGGATGATGTTTTGTGTCCCCCCCTGCATCAATGAACGAGTCGCTGGCTTGGTGATGGTTCTGGGGCCAAGCCAGGGTGCGGGTTGGCGTACAAAGGCGGGCTTGCTCCCCTCCGCCCATGTGCCGAGCTACCAAAAGGCTCAGCAGCCTCTCGCTGCCATTTTTTTGTGCTGTGATCAGCATTGCCACTTGCAAAAAGCGGTTGCCTGTTTCAGCGCTCGAACGATATCAATGATCACCATGGCAGCTGCGGTCTTGTTGCATGCTTCATTGTTATTGGCTTATGTGACCGCTGCAAGGCATCCCGCCGATTGTGCCCAAAGGATTTGAACGACAAACAACAACAGCCGCTGGACGTGTGGCTGATCCTGCGTGGCCACTTCGAGCGACCATTTCATGCATCATCATGGCTGCTTGTGAGCAGCTCGCTACAGCAAGTCACGGGAACTGCCCGTGCACACGATGTCAAATTAGGCCTAGGGCTGATTCGAACGAGGTGTGGGAAAGCAAAACGGTGTGCTATGTAGCATGATGAGATGATGGTTTAGTGCATGATGACTTTTTGCAAGTTTCCGTGTGGGAATGCAGAAAGCGCATGTATGGAACATTGTGGCAAGGCAGCTGTTGAAGGCGATATGGAGACCACCGCTGCACGGAGCAAAGACGAGAGTGAATTTGTGCAGGTCCACTTCACTGCATGCTTCGGTCCGTTCGATGTTTCAAAGGACCGCTCTTGGCAGCCACGTCAGCCTTTCGGTTCACCAGTGCTTCAGCTATCCTCCTGCGGCTTCATGCGGCAGCAAGGTCAACTCTCAGCTCCAACTAAGGCAAGTAGCTCAAAGGCCGAACTTCTGTTTGCTTCCGGCACATCCGGCAAGCCGATCTTCGCCTTTCAAGTACTATGCCATGCTGACCGCAGTGTAGAAAACGGTAACCACAAGATGCCAACACTGAGGCTTAAACCAAGAGGTGCAGCGCCGCACATTCGTCGGCATTGCGGATTGTGACACTGGCCGGTGCTTCTTCAAGAATCCACATGAAGGTCTCCACCTGGCCTGAGGCGTGCTGAGATAAGCAGAAAGAGTGCGACCCACTGCGACCCATCTCGACGTGCTGCTTGCAAACCAGATGCTCATCCACAGGGCACATAACAAGGGAGTATAGTGATCAACACAGTCACAATCCTCAGAAGTAATGAATTGCAATGCGATGGGATGGATCAGACTACGCTCTGTGCTACGAAGCCCAGCTGCTGTGATAGTTCGTCCATCCGGGCCCTTTGTCTTCTTTGTGGTCTCTAGGATTGATCGGCGGATGAGCACATCGGGAGAGCAGCGCTCCCTCGGAACAGCGTAGGAGAAAGCAGCGTACCAGAATGCATTGGATCAACCACGTCTCAGTCACAACAGTATGTATGTGTGCATGTATGTGCACGCATACGTACGAGCGCGTGCATGGATTTATGGATGTATGTATGCATGCATGTATGTATGTATTCATGTACCTATTCATGTGATGTATGTATGCATGCAAATATGTATGCCTGTGTGCATGTCTGCATTTCCTCCCGATCCGTCGCTCTGTCGTCGATCTCCCCATCGCAATCAGCACAATTGCAGCCACAAGTTAACTCTAAGTTACGGTGGACTCTACCAATGTTCCATTTTGTGACAGATACAAGCCCACAACTGTGGCTTCCCTTTGGTCGAACCAGCAGAAGCCTCAACAGAAGACTTTACCAGTGTAGCAGGGAGGAAAAGAAAAGGGAAAAGGACAGACACGCACACACACACACACATATATATATATGTATGTATGTATGTATGTATGTATATATATTTTTTCTTTTTTCTTATTTATTTATTTATTGAGAGTGTAACGCAATGCAGGCCCGTGTTTTTCGAGTAAAACACGTGCTTTTTAGATGTTTTAAGCTCTGTCCA